CTTCTTTGACTACTTGTGTACATGCACAGAAGGAAATTTGGTATGGCATTGCTGTAACTTAAAGGGGATAAGAACATTGAATTCTGATCAAAAGATAAGGTGTATTGCACTTTGCAAAAAACGTTTCATCAAAACTCACTGTACTGGGGCAGAGATGAAGGTGTATGTTGTTTCCTGATGTCACAACAGCAAGTGTGGCAAAGTGGCTAAAATTACACTCTGTTCATCTGTATAGTAAATCTACCTATTCTTTAGGCCAAGAGGGTGTAAAAATACTTTTAGAACAGAAACTCCATCATAAAAACTTTTGTCAACTTCATGACTTCTTAAAATATTCAAGTTAGGAATTTCTCTAAATTTTTACGTAATAGAACTCAATATACTGTATGTTTCTGTTGACCTTGAAATGAGCTTAATGACATTTAAAGTAGATTTTTAGTAGCATGTTTCTTTTAGTAAAAGAATGAAATCTGGAATGTATACAATATTTTAGGTTTTATTCTGTTTCTCTTCTGATAATTTACTCATTCTATTAATAGGTGCATATGCCTCAGCATCTTTTCTTAGTGACATAATTTTACACATATGCAATTCTGAAAAGATACAAAGAAAAGGCAAGAAAGAATTTTCTGGTGTTTCCTTGAAGAAGGTTCTACTTTTCGAGTTGGTCTTACAGGCTAAAAATGTTAAATGTTTAAATTGATAATTGATGTGTAAATTTTAAACTGTTTTTGATACTTCCAAAATTCAGCAGAGTTTTGCAAGTCATTGTCAAGTGTTACACAGTGATGACCTGTGAATGAAAAAAAAGGCAATATAGCCTTTGTCCTATACCTCCAAGATAGATACAGCAGAGCAAAATCAATGCACGTAAGAGTTATGAAGAAAATAATCAGGTGGTATGATAGGTTTGATGCTGAAATTTTGGAATTTGAACAAAATAAAAGCCTTAAATTGAGATTTATAACGTCAACAATTTTTTTTCTCAGTAAACTTCTCTTAACTGCAGAATACTTGGCATTACTTGAAGTTGGTGTCCTTAAATAGTCTTCAATAATGTCGGAGCGTCCTGAAGTCACTAGGTTGAAAGATAGACTTCAGTATATTTAGAGTAAACCTGAGGTGTGTAGCTTTGGTTGTGGTATCTGAGGCCAGGTCCCTCCATGCCACAGAGGCTGCCTCTGAGCTGCTGTTGTTGAACACACTGGTAGAAACATAGGGCTAATGTAAAGAGGGAAATACCTGTTGAGTTTGAGTACACTGTACTGTTTTTTTGAGGGATATAAGTTATAGGTATATTAGGGGGCAACATGCTAGAGATGAAGGTGAATATGCAAGGTAATTTCAACAATGCTGTTTGGAATTTTAGTCTGTTCCTTAAAGTTTCTTAGCGACTTTGTTGTTGTTGTTGTCCAGAAACAGCACTGTGAGTAAAAATGATAGATTCATAGAATCATAGAATGGTTAGGGTTGGAAAAGACCTTAAGATCATCTAGTTCCAACCCTCCTGTCTGTAGAGTTTCTTCAACTTTAACTCCAAGGAAAAGCTATTAATCCCAAAATATAAAATGTTAACTGCTGCAAAACAGGTATGAGGGGAAAATATGCAAGAGAAGGATGGCTACTAACCAAATTGTGGCAGACTTACAAAAAATTAACGTACTTTTACAGGATGGATTCCAAGGAAAATACTAGATTTGCTAGATGATATGGTTTATTGAAGTCCTTGATGACGAGAAACTTATGGCAGTATTGACTATGTAAGAGAGAGGCTTTCGATAACATGCTACACGAAATGTCACAGCATCTTAAATCTGACGGTCTGTCATATGTTTTCATTGTATGATACAGGAAAACAAAATTATTTGAGGAACAAATAGCCAAAAGTTTGAAAACCCACATCCTTAAATTAAGAAGTGCAAATCTGACTCTGTACCCTAGGGGTTTTTTTATAGTTGTCTGGACACAGGTGCTGAATCAGGTAATTTGCCATGTCCAATTTTGTGTATAATGTCGAACATACCCCAGAGGCGGATCTTCAAAGTTGTTAACTGAATTAGCTTCTGGATGAGACAGATGATGTATTAGTCGGTTCTAGAATCACTGTTCTCAGACATTATACCTAACAAGGATATCTAAATGCTAAAGACAGATTTCGACCAGAGTTTGCTCCTCTTTCATAGTCGTCTTATGCAGGTTATCTAGAACCACTTCTAATTGGAGTGCTGACCTGTAAGTTTCTTTCTTGTTTGGGAAAATGAACAGCTTGAATTTAGCTGATGCTGGTGCCATAATATTAACTACTCTAAAATGCTATTCTGCAGTTATAATTGCTTACACAATCCTACTCTCATAGAATAGTTTTGTTTCATTTTGTAGATTTGTGATATAGTCTTTGTTCCTTCTAGGCATCTTTTTCGTTTGGATTGCCTTATCTCTCGAAAAATAATAATCCATCTTTCACAGTTCAAGCTTATAGCAGTACTTACAAAATTCACCTTAACTGGGCTGCATAAAAAGAAGCATGGCCAGCAGGTCAAGGGAGATGATTCTCCCCCATTACTCACCTTTTGTGAGATGCCAGCTGGAATGCTGTGTCCCGCTCTGCAGTCCCCAGCACAAGGTTAGAGCAGGTCCAGAGGAGGGCCACAGAGATGACCATAGGTCTCTGATATCTCTCCCATGAAGAAAGACTGAGAAGTTTTGGGTTGTTCAGCCTGGAGAAGGCTCCTGGGAGACCTTTCAGGAGCCTTCCAGTACCTAGAGGGGACCTATAAAGAAAGATGGAGAGGGACTTTTTACAAGGGCAAGAACAAGACCAGGGATAGTGGCTTTAAACAGAAAGAGAGTAGGTTTATATTAGGTGTTAGGAAGAAATTATTTACTGTGAGGGTGGTGAGACACTGGAACAGGTTGCCCAGAGAAGTTGTGAATGCCCCATACCTGGAAGCATTCAAGGCCAGGTTGGATGGCGCTTTGAGCAACCTCATCTAGTGGAAGGTGTCCCTGCCTATGGCAGGAGGGTTGGAACTAGATGATCTTCAAGGTCCCTTCCAATCCAACCCAACCCACTCCATGATTCTATGATTTATTTTGTGCCTACACTAACTAATATGAACAGTAACTTTGGTAATTTTCTGAAGGTTTTCAGGTTTTTCAGTAGAGTGCCATGAGGTTCAGATATAATTCAGATATAAGCTTTTTTAAAAAACTAGATTGTATTCAAGCTTCTATTTCTGTATAAAGCTATTTAAGAGTCCAGTATGTTGATTAATCCCGAGTTATCTAGAAGCTAAGTAGAGCATATTTTTATTTTTTAATGGTTTTAACTTTTTTACTGATCTTCATGGAAGCTTTTTCTTTTATACTGTAAATATATTGCATTTAAGTATCCTCAACATATATTAATATATGACAAGGCCCATCTTATCATTTCTACTTGGTTATACCTCATTTTCAGTTGATGATAGACTTTCTTAATAAATGTTCTGTTTATTAACTTAATTGCTTCTTAGATATTCTAGAAAACTGGACGGATCAGATTTCTTGACACATAAAATAGCCGTATGTTTTAAAAGCCTTGGCTTTAAGGTTTGTTATTTTTTCATACTCATACATATTGTGTGTTGCTGTACTAACAGTAATTCTATAACCACTTAAGCATAATATACTACAGCTAGTGATGAAAAGCATACCAGAAAATGCAAAATTTTGCAAAAAAAAAGAAGGAGTTTTAAACCATACCCAAAGCTAAACTTTACCACTTAGTTAAATGTGCTCAGTTCTGGTCTCTGATATACCTATTGGTAATTTTCTAGCTAATAATATTTGTAAGAAGACTAGAATAGAATTTTCAGACACACATATATAAACATTTAGGTGCTATTTATCAAAATAAAAATGTAAATAGATGCATTTTAAATATTAAAAAGAGATACCATGACACCAGCTATAATTGATAATTCTGTTTCCCTGACTTGCAGTAATGTAAAGAATATTTTCTTAATACTGTTAAAATACAGTAAAAGTGGGATTAAATAAAAAAAAAATATTTACAAATATTGAATAGATCAAAAATGTGATTTACCCAAGACATAAGTAGAAGAACAGGGAAAGATCTACTCCCTCTCATTTTCTAGAGACCATTAAACTGTTCCTGTACCTTAGAGAAACAATGATTAGAACAGATAATTCTTGTCCTGCCAGCATTGTGATCTGAAAGTCATAGTTAGTTTGCATGCCAGCAATTTCCTCTGTGTCAGATTCAGTGTTTGCCTGTATATTAACATAGCCATTTATAGGCAGGTTTTTAAGGAAGAGGCACCATCTTTTTATTTGTCTGTAGCTTTCTGATTTCATAAGGAACTTGCATAAAGATTATCCTAACTACTGATACACACAGTACTTTTTCCTGACATATGAAGAATATATTGCAACATTTTAAGTATTCTTTTATTTATTTTCTTCTAGGTTTATTCACACAACTAAACATCTCTCTTCAGAAAGATTTCATAAGCTATAAAGAGTTCCAGTGAGAAAAGGTTGAAGCTCTTACACATTTATGAATATTTGGAGAGTGAATGTAATTTCTCCATAGCAAAAGAAGACACTATAAAATCAGCAAATTAACAGATTATAAATTTCAGAGGTCACCTCCCTTTGTCATACAGTGGTCTCTCTGAAGAGCTCCTTATTCTCGGGAATAAACATTCTTTGTCATTTCTGAGATAATGTCTTTCAAGGGCCTGATGTTGCTTAATGCTAAATCTAATTAGCATGCATTCTTTTCCTGAGAATTTCAGCTGAAATGGTTTCAGGAGAGGAGAAGGCTAACAAAAAAAAGGCTCAAGAAACTCAAGGTTGAATACTGGTATTTTCATGGTCCATAATAAACTGATACAGCAATCAATTTAAATTTCTGTGTGAACAGGAATGCTTGGATAGAGGTATATAGCTTGTTTTACTAAAACAGTTAATGTATTTGTGTATTACTTTTCCAGATGCTCCAACATTTGTGTCAAATCAAACCATGTATTACTCTTGGGAAGGCAATCCCATCAATATAAGCTGTGAGGTGCTAGCAAATCCGTCTGCCTCAGTTCAGTGGAGAAGAGGAAAATTAGTTTTACCAGTAAAAAATACAACACATCTGAAGACCTACAGTGCAGGAAGAAAGCTGATTCTAGAGGTAAGGCTTAAAAGGGAAATCAACTTGATGACATATATTTACAAAAGGATTTATGTGACTTCTGCCAAGAGCAAAGCAGAAAGGTAAAGTGGTAAGGAACTGCAATTGCCTATAAAAGCTGTTTTGTCATATTGGCATTGGAAAAATAAGAGCTAAGCTGCTCTTATCTTAAAGATGCCTGTAAGAACAAAACTGAGAAAGTCAGCAGAGAGAGAGTGCACCTTAATTACCCGTTTACTTTATTGACTTGACCAAATCTGGAATGACTCAGGAGTAGTGTATAGCAAATGATGGTCCTTAATTAATTCACAACAAAGCGCAACCGGTGTCTCCAGCCCTGGTCTCACCTGTTACAGGGATGACATACTGTCTTCTCCACAGATGTGGAAGAAGTTAGTTTTCTCCATTTCTATCTAGTATCAGGCTTATGTCTGAACATGAGCTTCTCAGTTTCCATGGGAAAAAGGGCTGAGAACTATAAAGCTAAGCTGACTGGGGGACCTACTTTAGATCCCAAGCAAGAGGTGTACAGTGCACTGAAAAAAAATACTTTTTTTCCTGAAGTTCAATGAAGTTACTTTTTTTTCCTGAAGTTCAAGGAAGTAACCTTAGTCTTGTAGTAGAGGATATATATTTTAAGAAACATAATCTTACTCTTGTTTGAAGGTCATCTTTAGGGTTTTGTTTAGCCCTATGTTGTTAAGTAAAGCTTAACAAAAAAATTTGCTTCAGTCTGTGGTTCTCTAAGGGCCTTTGCATTCTACTGTCACCTGAACAGTTGGTCAGGCAAGCTAGATTCCAGTGAGGCATTACCTCCCTGTGTTATCCAGTATTTGTTCTGTCTTAAATCCTTATTCACCTGAATTTACAGTTGAGCCACATCCCATACATCTACTTTCTCCCCCCCACCCCTCCTACCCCAAATGTCTGCTGTATTGTGAATCCTGCAAACGATCAGAAGTGAAATATTATTCTTGCGTCTGTAGGAATCAACAGTTTTCAGACCTTTAATTGCTTATTTCAGTCAAATATCAGTTTGTGCAAATAGCATGTGTAAAAGAAGTGAAGTTTATTAAATTTTTGTCTTGTTTAAATGTGAAATTGTAAAGTTGAGCAATGTCCCCATTTTCCATTCTGATTTTTCTTCTTTTAAACTTTGATATTTAATTAGAAACCAATATTTACAAATTGTATTCATTTTAAAGATTGCTCCCACATCTGACAGTGATTTTGGACGGTATAATTGTACAGCCACAAACAGAATAGGAACAAGATATCAGGAGTATACACTTGGTCAAGCTGGTAAGTTTATAGTTGTTGTTTTCTTTAAGTACTTTTTCTATTTTAATCAAAATTAAGTTCAGAGACACTTTTCTCTGTTCATTTTATTCCAATTGAATGTTGGCAGTTAATTTTAATTCTCTGAAAGTTGAGTTGCAATATAAAGTAAAATAAACCATTTCCCTCTGAATATGCATCTTGTTTGGATTTAATTGTAAGGCTTTCTAATACTGGAAAAAAATAAATTAATAACTTTTTTCCTTTGCCCTTACTACATCCTACATTTATAACTGTATTTTCATTACTTCACTGTAGAGATACTGTTTGCAGGCAGTAAAAATAAGAAAGAATTAGGAAAGACTGTTTTCCTTTTCTCCCTGGTATTTTCTTGATAAACCAAGGATGTCAAAAGACTCAAATACTTCAGCAATGAATTTCTATCTTCATTTGCACTCTTAGTTATTTAAAAGCAGAGTTTGACCCAGAATACTAGGTCTAAATTTAAGCTCTGACATGTTCTACAACCAACTGTTACAGAATTTCTGAATATTTTTGGGTCCATCTATAGTTGTTCAGGCAAATATAAAAATATGATTGTATGTTGTTCTTTGACAGAAATAACTATTTACTGAGAGCAAACGAGAGTTTCTTAGTATTCCTTTCAGTTATATTTTCTTGTGGAATGGACTAATGCTTATTGAGCAAGCTTTGAGGTCTCCCAACATTTGTATCTACATAGATGGTGCAGTTTGTTCCAGTTTTAATTACATGTGTGGAGTAATAATGCAGTTTGCAGTACCAAAGGTACAGCCCTACTAATAAGTATACACCCCTTATGATGCTTTGTAATGGACCATTTTCATCATGGACATACCATACTGCCAAACTGGCTGATATATATTGATGGGGACAGCTAGAAACAATGTCTTGTATATTTTTTTTAAAAAGTAGAACTTGTATATTTTTTACGATCTTCAATGTTTCAGCTGTAACTTTTGGTTATTTTACTTTTTTTTTAATAATAAAATAATCTCTTTGGAGCCCTGCGAGAAGGGCTTTTGGAGGTACTTTGCTGAAATGTGTATATCCAGTCATAGCGAGGCTCTCTTACTCAGCCTGGTGTTTTAATTTTTATAGTTTTCCTCAATAGGATGATTATTTTCTTTGGTTTCTCAGAAGTTATAAAAAATAGTTATTTATTAAGAATTTTCTGAGTTGTACACAGCATTTAAAATTTTTCCCATTACCTCTAAAGGATGGATTACTAGCACACACTTTTACAATGAATACTGTACTATTTTTTTTGTTTTTGGACAGTAATCAAAAGTGCTGAGCTTCCTAAAGTTGGAAAATGGGGAGGTTTATTGACAAAACAGCAGATATCTATGTGCTACAATTTTACATTATCCAGAACACCCATTCCCCTTAATTTTAGAACTTTTGGGGGGTATTAGCTGTATTGCTGATCTTTTGATAGCTACATGTGACTAATGAGAAATATATTACCTTTTCCTTTTGCATGTAAACATCCCTAGTCCCAGCTAAGCCCTAATTTCATACAATACATTCTTTACTTTTCATTTTACAAATCTTTCCCCAATATAACGACTCATGCAGTTTTAGTCATATCTAAGATAATTTTATTTTTTGTGAAAAGAAATTCCAGAAGTGAACAGTTTGTAGAATCATGTTCAGTCATGCTCATGATCATTTAAGTGGTTGATCCCATTTATTTCAGTGGAATTACATGAACAGTTGAGTTTCCATAATAGAGCTAAAATTATGACTTATCACTACTTATGAGCAGTTCATCAGTACTACATGTGACATTAAATATGAAAGATGAATACTCTCTCTGACGTTCAAAATTGACATAGTAATAGAAATGCTCTAAATTTTTAGGAAAAACAATTCATTTCTATTCCATTATTAATTTCTATTCTGTCTCTAAGAAGCCTCAAGGCGTGCAGGAAGTTAGCATTGATTTGAATAGGTAAACTACATCTGTTATGTATATATTACTTTTGTCATCATTTAATTTAGGAATTAGATTTAGATCTCTAGAAATTCTCAGGACTTGATTATATAAATATTTGTGGCTGGCATAAGATTTGCAGAATTACATTAAATTCATCAAACGTAAGGACAGTACATAACCCTCTGCTATTAGTCAGTTACATCTATTTCTCTTCAGTAGCATGCTGTCTCTTTAGGTCAACATGTGCATCTGTAAATTCAACAGCAGCACTGGTTCTGCCTGTCCTGCTGGGCTAGGTGCTACGCTTGTCTCTGGAGTATCATCTCTGGGATTTGTTACATGTGATGCTTCATTGGAAGCGAAAAGCAGTGTAAGTACTGTGTGAAATCTGCCAGAATAATTTCTCAATTTCTCTTAGACTTGAAGACAGAAGACTTGCCTCTAGAAGTCATTCTTAAAATCAGGATAGGAGAGGGAAGGAAAAACCCCACTTTCACCTCTCTGGTGTCTTACCTCTCAACAGAAAAAAAAAAAAAAAAAAGAGAAAATAGAACAGTTATGCCAATGAAAACAGGTTGTGGTTATTGCTGCGCACCGTTTTTTCATAAAGATGTATGTACTTATGAGAGCATCTCATCACATATTATACATCTGATTATTTTTCTCTTAGATGTGCAAAACAGCATCCCAAAACATTGCAATGCATGATACAGTATGATGATTATTCTAATAATTAATTTTAATAAAAAGTATTTCTCACTATTAGTTGGAAAAGAACACAATATTTTGATTATGTATGGTACTTCAGCATATTCTCACATGAGAGCCCTGGAAATGCAAGTGAGAGTAAATAACTCCATGCAAGCTGTAATTTTTTTTTTTGCTTTTTAATACAACTGTAACAGAGATGATACTGATGTAGTTTTTCAAACAGCTTACTATTTTCTACTTTTGCAATGGTGTAACATTTTTTCGGTTCTTCAGAAAACTTGATGAATACTTAAAAAAACATATTGGAGTTAAGAAAAGATAAGTCAGGGTATATTTAGTGAGTATGAAATGAGTAAAGAATTATGGGAAGTTATTATGTAAAGCGTGAGCTATATATGGACATTCTATATAATGACGTGAAATTAATATGTATTCTGAACATTGTAGTATAGAATTTATGTGGGGCTGAGGGTGTCAGACGTCATTATAATAGGCATTACTTAAAAGTGTAATGCATAATATTCTGTATCCTGAAAGATTTACATTATTAGCATTTTCATGTAAATAGACTTTTTTAAAAATAAAAACCTGCAAGTAACAAATGTAGATCACTGCTACAAGTTTTGCACTTAAGCTAGCATCAGCTGGAAATGAAAAACAACCAGGGAAATGGTGGACAAAACCACCATAATAAGTACAGATATAAAATGTCAAATGCATCTTTCTTTCTAGTTTTACTACCTCTGTTGCTTCACTTTGGTAGATTAGGAAGCCCTAATGATTGATAGTTTCCATATTAAAGCCTTTAAAATTTTTTCATGCAATTCAATACAGCCAGATTTCCTTCTGTCTTTGACTGTAAGTGCTAATGTTGGAGCGTAGCATACTTTCACAATGGCTCTGTCAGGAAAAATAAATACTATTTGTAGCTTGGAGACAGTATTAAGCAAAGTCTGCTGGTAGAATAAATTTTACAAATAATTATCATTTTACTAAATAGTTTCCTCTTAAAATTCTGCAGAAATGACTTGTGGCTTCATGTTTTCCTCCATTTTTCTGCTCTGCCAGTTTTCAGCAGTATTGAACTACCCTTTTTTTAGTTTACTGCTAGTTAAAATGATCGTACTGTCACAATGTTATTATCTTTATTTCTGTTGCCCTTCTTAAGAAATTAAACTTACTGATGATAGGAAAAGTTTTATTTCAGAATTTAGACACAATTCGCAACTATACCATTTTGTTTGGCAGGAAAGCTATACCTGTTCACTCAAATTATACAGACCTACTGAATCAGCCTGGATTCCAGACACTTTTACTTAAACCTTTCAAAACAGTTGAAGAATTGCAGCCTGTCTAAGGTTTCAAGCTGAAAGATGCTGGCCATACTGGTAGATACAGAGGAACTTCTGTGCTTTTTAAAAGCTTAATCAGAGGTGCTCACCACCTGACTTGTGATCAACTCTTAAAAATACCATAGGGTTGACATCCTCCTTTTTTCATTGCTTAAGCATTTAAGTTGCTTTATAAGTAACACATAGAATGTGAAAAGAACCACAGTCTTTTTCATTTCTTGTCACTGCAATCATTACCTCACAACCAGAACTTTTATTTTAGAAGCTTTCTTCTACTCTGTTTTCTCTCTATGACAGGCTTAGGGTTTTGCAAGCCAGGTGAGCTTGGCAGATTATCCCAATAGCTTTCAGAGCCTAAGGTGAGCACAGATATTCCTAGATTTGCCCAGATCTAGTTTAGTCATAGTTTATGTGAAATGTCAGTACGTAGAGAGATGATATTTACTAGCAAAGCATTTTTCCTTTTTGTTATTTTAAATGTTTTTGTATAGATAAATAGATTTTTCAATTAAATATTTTCTTGAAATACAATGTTTGTTTTGCACTTAGCAGTGTACAACTGGACTGAATCCAGAGATCCAAAAATGTAAGGTAAATCATGATTAACTTCTAAGTCTCTCATGGCCTTACTCATATTAGATTTTCCTTTCCCGTTCTTCTACTCTGGGATGGCAAAGGGGTTAAAAGTTCAGATAAATAGTCTGATTCTCCTTTTTACTTCAGTCTTTAGTCTTTGCACGTAGAATATACTTTCATTTTTAATGAAGCTTGAGATTCTGATCTTACTGCATCATTCCTGGAACTGCACCTCAACACAGACTTACAGTGACTAAGTGTTAATAGGATCAACTGATGGCATATCGATAGGCAGTGAACATAGTTTAAAAATCAGCTATGTGCCTAACCTGTAGATTTAATATTGAATTTTTTCTCTATTGTAAGGAAGTGTAAGCATGTACTATTTCATGGAGATTGTTGACTTCAAAGGTCTAG